ATTCGCGCTTCGAAACTGATTACAAAATTCTGCCTCGTGCAAAAGGTTTGACCCCTCATAAGACACGAACCACAAAACACACCACAGACAGCGCCCACAGAGCTCTTCAGCCGCTCAGCTCGCCCTTCCACCGCTCAGTTATCGTGAGCCATTAGACTGAGGTGGTGGAAGGTGGCGCGGCTAGCGCACTCACTGTAAGCTGGCAGTACGAGTTCTGGTCTTGCCCGAGGTCAAGCGTTGAATGGACCATTATTTCTTTTACCAGGCTGTCGAGCAGTTGCAACCCTACCCCACAACTACCGTGATCAAGAGTGGAAAAATGAGATGAAACGAACAATCACAATTGTACACATACGTTATAACCCATGAGTTTGAGCTGATCCAGCGTACAGGGCACAAGGTTGAGGAATCGGTACCTGAACACTCTTACTCATGAACAGTACAAAGTTCTAACAGAAAAGTATGCACCTGTCTATCAACATCAACGTCGTTCCTTCATCCTTTCCACCTGTCACAGCTTCCTTGCGCCTTTCGTCAACCTTGAGGGTGCTTGCCAAGTCTCCAACAAGGGACTCGAATTCCAGATAGCGATCCCAAATGTCACTATAAACAGATGAAATTCAGAACCCGGGAAGGATTCAACGCTATTTGGCTTCGGACGGGCATTTGCACTCTCGCTAGCTTCTCTTTCTAGCCACTGTTAACTAATAGGTCTCGCTTGGGTGAGACCCGCAATCTCGTGTGAAACTCCGGAATGGTACAAGGGAGCAACTTTGGCCGCAAGAATCTAAAGGTCTCGCGGGGTGGCCTGTGCAGGCTTCGCTGAGTATCATTTCGTGCCCCTCCAAAGTCAAACTGCGGCCAGGATTTTTCCATGAAATTTCAATACTTACGACGACTTCTCCTGTGGAAGGGTGTCAGAGGTGAGAATTCGTTCGAAATACAACTCGTGTATTGTTGTCTTCTGGAAACTAAGTAACTGAGTAAGTTATTGTAATTTTTCCAGTAACCGTAAACAGTACCATTCAAGTGAGTCAAAAAATCGACGTAGGCACACGCATATTCAGGCTCATCACCGTACTTCTTCAAACCAAGATCGAACACACGCATAGCCACATCCTTGTCCTAAATGGAAAGAATAGTTGAAAGCAGCATCAACACAGGTTCGTGCCGTCAGAGAGATAGTCTTTTACTAATGTCCCCCATTCTTGTACACCGCACTTACATTGATCTCGCAGTTGTAGTTTAGGAGGGGAGACGGACAAGACAATCGTAGTTCGTCATGTACCTTGCGCGCGGCGTACCTTGCGGCAATACGCGGCAAATCCTAGACGTGCGCCAATTTGTCAATTGGGGCATCGAAACTTATATGAATTCAAGCGGAGGCAATAAGATGGGCGATACAGAATGTTCCCGCCCCTTATTAGCTTCGAACGGCCAAGCAGGGCAACACGTCCGTCGGGCGTCACGTCGCTTGCCGCGCCCACCAGCGCGTCATACTATGACTGTCTTATCCCTTCAGTAGGTTCGAACCGTGGCACCGCGCACAAAGGCATAAACTATTTCCTGAACAGTTCACTCGGCACACTGCAGCCCTTGCCACGTCGAATCAATAGTGCAAATACCGCGCACGCAACACCATTTGCAACGTTTCTTGTGCTACTAATATCTCGGATGTCTTGAACTACACCTCAAATTCCATAGGGCACACTTAGGTCGCTCTCGGTACACCACTGTATAATCGGGAAACCCGCAAAAAGGATCGATATGAATCGACTTGGAGGGTCAGAATCGGAAAACCAGTAGTCTCACGTGGTAGTTAAATCTCCCGATTCTCGAGCGGCAAAAGGTATGAACGCAGCCTAGCACTATTCTAACGAAAAATTCTTTAGACCGCTTACATCAGTACCTTGCTGCAATAAAACTCCATGAGTGCAGCAGCTATAAACACATGATGACGACAGCGGCTATCCTCTCGAGCTCTTTTGAACACTGCACGAGCTGCTCGAACTCCTTCTGTTCGACGTGTGAATTTCATCAATTGGATATAGGTCTAAAAACGTTGCACTCGTCGTATTGCCGCTGATAACTTTTTCGAAGAAACCACTTACAAGAGTAGGATCGATATGATCTATTGCAAGGAGGTTATCGTAGATCTTCTTAACATTATCGAACTTCATCCTCTCCTCTTCAAAGTCTGCATATGCGAAATAGAGCAACTGTGAGTGTTTCATAAGGCCGGATATTGCCCGATCAAAAAGTTCTGCAAGATATAGCATAACCTGCACAGGTCAAGCAAAGAAAATAAAATTAGTTAACAATAAAATTGAAAATACGAATATGTGAAACAAAAAAGCTCCGACTCATTGCAGACCCCTTACATAAAATTCTCGCAATAATGCAGGTCGAATGAGGGACCTGCCGCAGCCTGCTACGAAAGACTAGGCCGGGCGATTCACCTCTACTGAGCCCAAACCTCAGACAAACAAGGTACAGTCATTCCACTGGAGTCAGCGGGGGCGTGTCAGGGGTCACGAGTTTTGGCGCGGCTCTAGCGCACTTTCTATTAATCGTTGCGTCTTCGGTCGTTCAAAGAGTAGCAAAAAGGGCCAGCGTCGCGCCAAATCCTCACGCACCCTCAAATACCCCTAGTGACTTCAACGATAATGATTGCACATGGACTGCAATGGGATAGATTTTACAGTCTAGTGAACCGTTGCTGTCGTGGCCCTGGGAACGACCATGTCCCTAACCGTTGTAAGAGACCCAGCTTACTTGTTGCACTGCCGCGTCCTTCCTCCCAACCCTGCCGGACCAGGTTAGCGTTAAAATGTCAAATTTCATTGGAAACCACTGCCAAAAAGACTTACGCATTGCCTCCGCAGTCATTTGTTGAGCAAGTTTAACATCGCCTTTCTCTTCAAGCTGTTTCCCTGCTTGCTGTAGGAACAGTGCTGCTTCATACCACATATCAGGATAGTATCCCAAGCACAACAACGATTGCTCATAAGCATATACTACTAAACGGATGTAATTTACCAATAGGTACCCATAAAAATGAAAAATTCGAGATGAACCGGCATAGTGCGCACGTACCACGTTTCGCAAATTGCCCATATTCCTCTGTCTCCATTGGATTACTCTTTTCCCACTGGATATATTTCTTCCACATTTCTACCTAAAGGAAAAGGACAATGGTAGAGCGATGTTCATGACGCATAGGAAATCACTGGACCGTTGTGATCAAGAACTTTACCTGCTTCATTTCCGGAGCAGTACCTCGTGGTGGTACAGATACAGCTTGCCTATTCACTCCTCGAGTGACTGTCTCCAGTTGTTTGGC